CTCCCTCCCTCCCTCCCTCCCTCCCTCCCTCTCTCTCTGCTTTCCAAATTTACACATACAAACACACACATACACACACATCGATATGGACGCTAAATGTTCTTTTTCGATTGAGAAAAGGACATCTCACCTACTTACGATGAATGAATGTGTTACGTTTTTTTTTATTTCTCACCCCATTCTCCTACATGTCATGATCCAAATACACTGTGATACGAGTCTTACGTCAGAGAATCCAGCGATTACACGATAAATTTCTGTCCCCAACTATTGGGTTATGTTGTTGATTGTGAGATTTATACTTCCAATTTGCTATGGGGTGCGAATATGAGATTTGGAAAAAACAAATTGTGAGTACTCGCTTGCGATCTCCAACTAGGAGTCACACCACATCTCTATAGAGATACAGGGTAATCCTCGGTGAGTTTACTCTGTTGATTCTAGACCTAATTTGGAAATGATTAGTCTTGAGCGAAAATGTCTAGGAATCTCGATTTAGCCATAGTGTATGATTCTCTGTTGTTAATCATAAAGAAAAGCAAACAATCATCTCACACATAATGAAAAAGTTGTAATTTTTCACACGACGACTCTTTTTCCTTCAGATGGCCGACGTTTCCGAGGATGTGCTGATTAAGGACGCTGCTACGGCGATCTCTCAAGGTAAACGTCATCTCCTTGTACGCGACTACAACTTGGCGGTGGTCGTGTTGGCACAGGCTTGCGAGCTGCTCGTTCGAGAACACGGTGAGACGGGCGACGAGATGGGTGAACTCTATTTGCTTTATGGACGTGCCCTTTTGGGTTTGGCGCGCGAAGAAGCGGGAGTACTGGGCGGTGGTGTACCTGGCTCCGAAGAGGCTAGCCAGGACGAGGAGGTCCCAGAAGAGGAGGAAGAGGAGGAAGATGCTGAGGAGGAGACAGTGGCCGAGGAAAATAGTCCTTCAACGTCGGACGATAAGGAGGATGATAATAAGCAGGAGCAGCTCAACGGCAAAGATCCAGATGACTCGACTGACAAGGATGACAAGATGGAGAAACCCAGTAAAACAGATTGTCAAATTGAGGAAGAGGAAAGGAACAAGAAGCAGAAGGAGGAAGTTCCTGGTTGTAGTCGAGATTACGATCCAGATGCTGGCAAATCTGCTGATAGCACAAACAAGACTGAAGATGCATCTGAGAGCGTCGAGAAAGATAATGACGAAGACGACGTGAATAATCTACAGGTATTGCTGCTCTTGGCATTGCGTGCTAAGGCATACGTTTTATAATTGTAACATTACGTCTGTTCGATGGTATATCGTAATTACTTTTCATTGACAGATGACTACAATTCGATTAATAACAACAGCAATAGCAGATGTTGATAGTTTTCTATAGAATAGGCATTTCATTGAATTAGTACATCATATCAATAATCGTGTGTCTACTCACAGATCGCCTGGGAGGTACTGGAGTTAGCCAAACTGGTGCTGTTGAAGCGTGGCTCGTCGGGCTGGAAGTATCTGGCCGAGGCGTACCGCCTCTTGGGCGAAGTTGCTATGGAGGGAGGTAATCACGAGACCGCGTTGGTCGATCTGCAGGGTTGCCTGAATCTGCTGCAGAAAATCACACCGCCCGACCATCGCGCGATCGCTGAGATCCACTATCAGCTTGGACTCGCGCACGCGATGGCCAATGATTTCGATGCCAGCATTGAACAGTTCAGACAAGCATCGGCCTTGCTGGAAACACGAATCGTACATCTTCAAAGCATGCAGGACGATCCGCCTCCCGAATCTTGCAACGATCCCTTTTACACTGTTCAGGGCGAGATCAAAGAGCTGAAGGATCTCCTGCCTGAGATTCAGGATAAGATCGCCGATATCAAGGATCTCAAGAGAGAGGCAGGTGTCATCAAGGAGATTAAAGAGGATGCGTTGAACGACACCGCGGAATCGAGCGACGCTGCCGGAAACGGCGCTACATTTAAACCTGCCAGTGATATTTCGCATCTGGTGAGGAAGAAGCGCAAAGCGGAGGATGAGGCAGATTCTGCCGCTGTTGTTTGTAAGAAACCGACGACACAGCGTGAGGACGCGTGAGAAGCGTGCAAGTGTGCTATTTTACGGTCAGAACGCTCAGATCTGAACTCTTAAGAGACACGAGAACTTTGATATTTTTCGCGAATGTAATGTAGAAACCCTGTTTGTCATGTGCGCGCGGAAATAATGTTTCCCTCTCTCCTCCTAAAAAAAAAAGAAACAAAAAAGCAACAGTGGATTCATTCCCGAGATATTTTATAGTTGATCGAAAAGTTGATTCGTCTTTTCTTTTTCCTGTTCTTTTTTTTTTCCATTGTCATTTCATTTTTCATGTTACAAAAAAAGCTGATAAACTTTGCGATCAACTTGATGCAGATTATCGATGGTGGATTATTGTCGGGATGTCGAGAGTCCACAGATGTAGAAAAGAGTCTAATAAGTCTAATGTTTATACACTCAGTCTTCTCTACTATAAACTGAATGGCATTGTTTTGCGACTGCAGCAACTGCTATATTTGTGTGTACAATCGTGAAATTCAGTATTGATTTTGTCGATAGTGCAAGAAGGATATGATAAAAACTTTTTTTTTTTTTTTTTTTTTTTTTTTTTTTTTTTTTTTTTTTTTTTTTTTTTTTTTTTTTTTTTTTTTTTTTTTTTTTTTTTTTTTTTTTTTTTTTTTTTTTTTTTTTTTTTTTTTTTTTTTTTTTTTTTTTTTTTTTTTTAGAAAGCGAGTGTCTTTCAGTCAATGGATTACATTCCCAATGCAAACAGCTGTCAAGATGCGAATGTGTACATCCAAGATCATTAATTATAAAAAGATCATTAAGTTAGGAACCGTTTTTTTAAATCATCCTTGTATTAATGTATCGTGAGATTGAATAAAATTGTTTGACTTTATTGTGTAACAACGGTTTGTTTCAACATGAGGTATTCAAAAAGATTAATTACGAGTATATAGACAAGTAACTCCTAAACGGTTGTTATACTGGACTGCGTATGTATGTAAACATCGAAAATAAACGATTGTTTTATAATCTTATTGTGTTAGCTAATATATTTTATAAATTATTAATAATATTTAATTGTGCCCATACGTCTATTCACTATTGATAAAGGAGAGAGTACATATGTTGTCTTGTTACAGGCTGTTCCATGGACGCAAGAATACATGGACAGAGCGAAAAATGCGATTACCACAGATGTCTAGGGCCGGTATTCATAGTCCGATCTTATATTTAAGATCATCTTAAGTACTGTCTTAAGATGTCATGAACCAATCACAAAATGGTCCAATCACATTCGCATCTTAAAACATTACTTAAGACGATCTTGAAATAAGATTCGACTATGAATACCGACCTATATTTCTTCTTCTTCTTCTTCTCTATATTTTACTTGCCTTGCAGACTTTCTCAAATAGCTCTCTGCCAAGGTACCGAAGTACAAGTTAAAAAAAATATTAGGCCCGAACTTGTTCAGACATGTCTAGACGTAAAGCTGGCCACACACACTTTCCGTAACAGTAACCGTAAGACGTACGTAAGAATTGACCAATCATGTTGAGAATCGTCGAATTATAAGATCGCCATTTTTGTGAATACTCAATCATAATTGGTTAGTTTTTACGTAACGTCTTACGATTACTGTTACGAAAAATGTGTGTGGCCAGCTTAACAGCGGTCAGACCAGTGCTGGAATTTTGCAACTATTAAAGTTAATGACAGTTTCGTTATCGTTGCGCAACTTTTATATATCGTAGAAAAGCTTGGCAATGATAACGAAACTGTCGTTAACTCCAATAACGAATTACAGAATCCCAGTACAGAACTTAAAGGCCTTCACACACACTTTCCGTAACAGTAACCGTAAGACGTAACGTAAGAATTGACCAATCACGTTGAGAATCGTCGAAACATAAGGTCGCCATTTTTGTGAATACTCCATCGTAATTGGTCAATTCTTACGTTACGTCTTACGGTTACTGTTACGGAAAGTGTGTGTGAAGGCTTTAAGCTGGTGGCACATAGAAAAACTTAAGCAGTAAGCATAAGCAGTAAGCAAATTGACCAATCACAGTTATTGATTCTTCTTACGATCCAAGAATCAACAATTGTGATTAGTCAATTTGTTTACTGCTTACGTCTTACTGCTTAAGTTTTTTTGTGTGCCACGGCCCTTAACCATATATTCCTTGTTCACACCTTGCTTTAATTCTTATGGCTTCTGCACACAGGACGCGGTAATGCCTGCCGCGCGGCGCAAGTCCACGCGACAGCCAATCAATATGTTGTTTTTCCGTAGAAGCTAGAAGGTTATTACGGAAAGCAGCATATTGATTGGCTGTTGCGCGAACTCTGCTCGAGCTTCCGCCGCGCGGCAAGCATTACCGCGTCCTGTGTGCAAGAACCATTAGTTCCGAGCCACAATAGGTGTAGTAAGCTTTAATGGCTCTCGCAGCCAGTGCGATGCGCGACGCGATACATGATATGCGACGAGCGATATCGAATGAGCGTATTGGTATTCTGGAAAAGCTGTACGCTCATTGGATATCGCGCATCTCATATCGCGTGTCGCGTCGCAAATCGCGCTGAACTGCGAGAGCCATAAGCCTTAACAAATTGACCAATCGTAATGGCTCCTGCACACAGGACGCGGTAATGCTTGCCGCGGGGTGGGACCCGATTGACCGCGATACGATTGGACACAGATTGTAATGATTGGTTCGACCTAGTAATTCACTAGATAATTGTCGGTTGGTTGTGTCCAGTCGTACCGTGGTCGGGACTCCCCTTGCCGCGCGGCGAAAGTTTGCGCGACAGCCAATCAATATGCTGCTTTCTGTAATAATCTTCTAGTTCTTACGGAAAAACAACATATTGATTGGCTGTCGCGTGAACTTCCACCGCGCGGCAAGCATTACCGCGTCCTGTGTGCAGAAGCCATAAGGCTGAGTTCCCACTGAGCGCGTCACGCGTCGCGTCGCCTGCCTGCGTCACGAGTTAACCAATCGAGTCGTTCCATTGGAATAAGTGCGTCGTGCGTTGCGCGTCGCGTCATCCCAATTAGAAGATTTGATTGGTTAACTCGTGACGCAGACAGACGACGCGACGCATGACGCGCTCAGTGGGAATTCAGCTTAACTGGAAAAGGGTGTATATCAGTTGGACACGGGGCAATTGGACACAGTCCAATCACAAGTCGCTGTTCCAAGGGACCCTACAAATGTCTCTAATCACACGGTGCTGTGATTGGCTGTGTCCAAATGCACCGTGTCCAAGTGCACCGCTCCCACTGGAAAGCATCCATTATTGTTCAGCTTTTTATGATTATATGTAAACTTAAGGGCGCATCCTAAATCACTAGTAATAGAATCTAGTAAACATCGAAATAAATTTAGTAACATCGAAGTAAAGAACTATCGATATAGGGATTAATCGATTTCCAAAAATATCGGGAAAATAATCGATTATTTGTACAAAAAGCATCGATTCTCAAATCATCGATCGATAATTGCCCATCCCTAGCTCAGAGTATGCGTTAAGGCTTGTTTACAGTACATTCTTATATTTAATATTATGTCTTAAATACATATTTAAAAACATTTCACCGAATAAAATGATTCATACAGATGTTGTACATATCATATTATGGTTAAAAATATTTGAGAATTTATTTAAAACAATCTTTAAATATAATAACATACTATGAACAAGCCTTAATGCGCACTCTGTGCACACTAGTAAGCAAGCAACCGAATTCGCTATATGAATACCGGCCTAAAAGTACAAACCAATCAGATCCAAGAGCTCACTGAGTTCTCAGTTGTAATATTAGTGATCTGTTCTTTTCAGCTGCACTGCTGAACTGGTGCAATAAATTAGAGTGGGAAAAAATATACTTGTCTCACTTTAACTTATTGCACCAGTTCAGCAGTTATCTGAAAAGAACAGACCATAGGCCTGTTCTTTGTAGTTGCACTGCTGAACTGGGCTCTTATTCTTGAAATAGTTGCGTACACGTAAGTTTTACTGCGCAGGTTTAATCATACCATAAAATAGTTGCACAGTAAAACTTACGTATACGCACTATTTCAAGAATAAGAACCCTGGTGCAATATATTGAAGTGAGACAAATATACGTTTTCTCACTCTAATTTATTGCACTAGTTCAGTAGTGCAGCTACAAAGAACAGGCCTACTGGGTACGCTCAGTGTTGGACACACCTATGAAGAGGGAATTGCAATTTTCATCGGAATTAAAGTAGACAAATTTCTCCTTGACGCAATCCAATTACAACGATCGTAAACAAGCTGGATCAATATAACACGCATTAAACTGTGGGACATTGAGTGAAATCGAATTCAGTGACACTTTTATTGGGTCAACCAGTCTGACACGTCAAAACTAGACTCGACTGGGATACGTCAAGTTGGTCGAATTTTGACATTGATTACATTAGAATAGTCTAGTGTTGCCTCGATTACGCTTGTTAATGTCACGAGGTGTTTCGTATCTCCTTCTTTTCGTTCATCTTTGTTGAGTTGCCAAATAAAAAAAAATTGTGGTTGTAGTAAGAAGCTTATCAGATTTTCAAGTTTATTGTACTAGTCAATGCGAATGTTACAAAGAAGCCTGTGAGTTATATCTTTCAAATATGGTAAGTAATTTTACAATCAGTTGTAATTTTCATCGACTGGACTATGAAATTACTTGTAATGTATCTGCTTCTTACAGTCGGGAACTCTAAAGCCCTACTTGACAGCAGTGAGACGTACTCTTACTGCTGCTATGTGCCTCGAAAATTTCTCTTCTCAAATAGTAGAGAAACACAATAAGCCAGAAGTTGAAGTAAGAGCCAGCAAAGAATTGCTTTTAACACCTATCTTGATAAGTAGAAATGATAAGGAAAAAGTCTTGATTGAATCTAGTATAAACAGTATGAGAATAAGCATTGCTGTGAAACAAGCAGACGATCTAGAAAAGATACTCTGTCATAATTTTACAAGATTTATGACAATGAGAGCTGAACATTTTATGATCCTTAGAAGAAAACCTGTAGAGGTAAGTGACTAATGAGAGGAGACTTATTTCCCTTGTAACATTGCAATCTACATGTAATCTTAATTCTGTACAATTTATTTCAGGGCTACGATATTAGCTTCTTAATCACTAATATTCATGTTGAGCAAATGTACAAACACAAAATAGTAGATTTTGTCATACATTTTATGGAGGAGATTGACAGGGAGATCAGCGAAATGAAATTGTCGGTTAATGCCAGAGCACGTATATGTGCGGAGGAATTTTTAAAAAGAGTAAGTAACAAGTTATTTTATGATCTTGTTCTTTGCAAATATACGATATTACTTAATTCTGTGAGTGAGAAATTTACAGACGAATTTTTTTCAGTTCTAAATCATTATCACAAGCACGATTAGTGCATCGATCAGCGAGAAAATCCAAATTTAATCAGACATGAACGCGCTATTCATCGGTATCGTGCAATCGGTAACACATCAGTACTGTTTTTGATAATTTTGAGGAAGTGGGAGACTTTTATTAAATATTCAACAGAGTTTCCTCATTTACATACTATTTAGATTGGTTCTATGTTGAATAGATATGCGCATAAAACGTCGGCTCGATGAGAAATTTGTTTCGAAGTTTTTTTTTTTAATATGGAAAATTACACGATAAATGAAAAAGAGCGACAATACTGCTTGAACTTTTGCATAAAATTGCATTTTAGGTACTTCTATGTTATCACAGCGCTTGTATAGTGCTTACTAAAATCAATAACTATCTATATAAATGTGAAAACATTATTATATAGTTCAGTGATATACTTGGGTTTCATAATAAGTGCAAGAATTATATATTTGTGCATCAAATTAAAATAATTATTAAAGATATATTTAACACACACGGTATATACAAAATCATCATGTAAATTACTTTTGTCTAACAATATGCAATTGGATGGTATTGAGTGCATTAAGTAAGTAAATAACGGGCGTGCTCGTTCGAATTTGTATATTTTTATACACTTTTTCGCAATTATTAAGATCCCGTAATGGATGGTATAATTTTGTTTCAAATAGCATATATTTAAATGATTGAGAAAGTCACGAGGTGAAATATGATTTAGTAGTTATTTATGTTATATTAAAGTTGCTTAAAACAGTCCTTGAATATAACGAGCGAATAATTTAACGAATGTCGTTTATTTTTTTCTGAAATGTTACATTTGGAAATTTCGGAAAGGTTGTAAAATATATATCTACGATACGATTTATAGCGCGTAACGCGCACACACGTTTTATCGCGTACATGAATCATTTATTACATACTATAATGAAATTGTGCACATTTCTCTTCAGTCTTTCTTTCATTCCCTACCCTTTATTCAGAAGAATGCGATTATGTATTTGAACATGTAATATTTAATAAAGAACACACAGTGTCTTTGGCATTTTCTCGCCAAATTACAAATGTTGATGTTTTTACATCGATAGAAACTGCGTACAATGTCACAATACATATTTACAATAGAAAACAACTTATTATCAAGTAATATAGTAACAGTTAGTATAGTGTGTAGAAATGCGCGAGTATATAAACACATATATACGGTCATGATATATTCTACAAGGACAAATTAAGATTATTATTATTGATAATTCGTAAGATATCCCATTGATAACAAATATATTTCAAATATTTTATTTGTATCTGAAAATTTGTCCAATGAGAAAAATGTTCGAAGGTTCGAAGTAACAAATATTAGCGATCGACCAAAATTTAATTCATAAAGAATTCGCGTATTGTCACGGAGTCTTTAAGATTTAGGTGCAGAATTTTTTAGCGGATCCGATAGATATATACATACGCCTAAGTGACGGCAACACGACCAACATTGCGTACACGTTGACATACTCGATAAATCGTGATATTTGGTCACGTTCGCGACGCGGCTCTGTAAATTTCTTTGCATAGGAGGATATTCAGCTTGTATAGCCAGTCGGTCGCCAATCGTCCATGCCATTCATCAATGGTGATTCGTGAGTTTTCTAAACTGCAAAATTATGCTAGTTGTTCCTTCTCATTCTATCCATTTATTTATCCATATGTTGTAAGGAGAAATTCTTTCCTCAACTTTTTACATTTTAGCCAAAAATGCAGCATCACCAGAATTAAATCTTTCCAGTCTGGAGTATCAGATATAGAGAAAAAATTGTTAAATTCGTGTTTATGTATTCGTTCACGGGATGGTAGGACGTCGTTAGCTACCATTTATAGCGCTACCGCTTTTCAATGTATCGATTCTTTTAAATCGAGACCTGTAAAATCTTTTCAGTTCAAAAGTATAAGTTTTAATAATAGCATAGCACAACATATTCGTTACTTATTTATTTATTTGTTTTGTTATTAATCGAAACAATTGTTGAGCTCATCTTTTAGTGAGTAAGCAAACAAGTGCAAGCTGGTCCGCATTACCGTTACTGAACGGATAAATGCATAATTTTATATATGTCTACTTATATATATTTCACTTTTATATATATTTCATATATGTCTGCTTTTCTCTATATAGAATCTTATA